AGATTTTTGAAATATGCTTTCTATATCCTTTTAAATTCTGTAAAATCTGTGGTAATGTCTCCTAGATCTTGATATTGTAATTTAAAAAATGTATAACTGATATTGTGTAACAGGAAGAAAAGGTCTAAAGGTGCAGGGGAAGTGGCATGGCTAGGGAAAAGGAAAAAAGGGAAAAGAAAAAATATGAGAAAAGGAAAAAAATGGAAACAAAATCTTTGCAAATAGGGAAGGGTTGGGGGGGGTGAAGGAAGGGCAAGGGAAGAGGAAAAAAATAAGAACCAAGATACTCATGTAATGGTACAATATCCCAATGATGAATGTAACTGTATTTTATACTGAAAATGTACCAATAAACTTAATGGGAATAAAAAAAAGAACTACAAAAAGACATTTCTGTGTTCACTGCTCATCATTTTACAATATCAAAAAAAGGATGTCATCAAAAACTTAAGAACTTGCTTATTAACCTTTATCCAGACATAAATTATATAGCTAATACTAGATCAAAGCCAAAATTAATTGTAGTGAATCATATTATTCCAACTCTTCTACCCAGCGAATCATGTGTTGCTAAGCATTTAGTTTATCATTGTAGGAACATCCTGTGCCCTCCCTACCCTAGCCCAGACTATTTTTTTGACAGGTCTTATTGCTAAGTTCTGATACATTCGTTTTAAATTTTTAAGTAGATTACATTCACTGGCATTCTTCACACACACATGATTATAACTCTTCACAACTAACTATGACTACTACTTATTTTTTACCATGTGTCAAATACAATGTTAGATTGTTTATGCTATCTTATTTATCCATACCAAAATTGAGATATTATCATCATTTTACACATAAAACTGGGTGTGAGAGCTTAGCATGTTCCCAAAGTCATAGATATTGAGCAATAATATATATAGAGAGAGAGCAATAATACTTAGAGACAGATTGAGCAATAATATATATAACTGCTCATAGATATTGGTATGATGATATATATTGATATATGATAAATATCGATATATATTATTGCTTAATCTCTCTCTATATATTATTGCTCTCTCTAGCTATATATACATATTATTGCTTAATATCTCTGTTGAGAGAAAGAGAGAGAGAGAGAGAGGTCAAAACCAGGCTTGTTTGAAGCCTTAGCATTTCAGATAGGCAAAACTGCTCCAGTACATAAAGATATAGAATACGATTTCTCTCAAATTACATTGGCCCAAGTGCTTGTTATAAATTAAGATTCATATATCCTATATAAATGTCAGAGTATCTATTTTATAGTTTCCATTCCTCGTTCTGAGTTCTTAAGAGTGAGGATCAGAATGAAAATGATCACAATGGAAATATCCTTGAAGATAATGACAGGTTTTATTTTTTAAAATATAAAATGATTCTGGGCCATTAGTACACCTGTTCAACCACAACAGAATGGACCAAAAACCTTTCTAAAGTCTTTCATAGGACTATATTCAAATATCTAGTTTTATTATTGCTTATTATTTATTATTCAAACATCTAGGTGTATTTATTTATTCTGGTTATTACTGTTGTTGTTTTAGCTTATTGTCATTCTCCAACTCCATTATCTGACTGACTGTGAAGATGATTCCAGTATTTAAGAAACTTCTTACAAATGAAAGGTTTTTAAGTACTTGCAAGGTATTTTCAAAGCCTACTTTTTATTCAGTTAATTTGGGAATCATGCCTTTAAGAAGAGTATGTCTATCCAAATTACATAAAAATATATTCTTGAGAAAATTTTTATAATTTTAAATCTCGTGACTTAAAAAATTAGTACTAAAATGTCTACATACCTGAGAAGGAAGAGGAAAAGAGAGAAGATATTAGCTGAGTAAAAGGCATGGAAAAACCAGGTGAGAACCAAATCTTACTTGTGGAGAATGGAACTAGTGAAAGAGAAACTCAGAGCCAGCACAGCACTAGCTGTCTCACTGTGGGAAACTCTGGATGACGGAGAATAGTCACACAAAGAAGAATGAACAAGGGACACCACTGAACATCCTTTGGCAAATGTCTTCCCCATATATTCTACCAAATGGATGTTAATTTTGTTTAATAAAACCCTTTTATAAATGTAAATGTATCCTTGGAGGATTCAAACTATTGGTTCTTCCTACCTTTATATTAGATTGGAGTCTGTGATTTTTTAATTGAATGCTTTCATTGAACCATGGAACATTTCAGAGCATAAATCATAAAGGTCTTTGGACAATCTGACAAAATGAGAAAGGTGTAACCATGAGACAGTTGGGAAGGGGGGGGCTGGAGTGGAGAAAAGAAGTGAAAAAATACTTTATAAATTTACCACAGAAAAATAAGAGGTTATGTTACAATGATCACAAAATTTCCTTGCTGCCTAGAATTCTACCAGGGCTATTATGCAAAAAAAAATGAATGTTTTACATAGAAAATAATACATGCTATTATTTTTCTCTCTGGAATCTGTGCCATTCAATTGCTAAATCAAGAGCTTCTTCTTAATCTATGTTTCAACAATATATAAAAGAAAATAATTTATTAAAACTAGTTCCAGATAACATAAGAAAATCAAAGATAGAAACTAAAGGGAGGTAAAATCTTCCACATAAAGAAATTAATAATACACATACCAATACGTAATTTAATAATCAGTATTTGACAATGAAATCTGGGGTCCAAACGAGATAAATTATTGGGATCGTTGAGAATCTCTACCCAAGAACACTTTAAATAAAAACCCTCATCATCAGAGGTGAGAAAAAGTGAAGAAAGAGAATACTGCCCCACCAGCCTTGCCTTCGCTCTGCATTCGGTCCTTTGCTTCATTCATCACATTATTTTCCCTTCCATCTGCGCATCCTCCACCTGCCACGTTATCGCCAATCAACCCTGCAGATCCCCGCGCTTTCCCTTCCCGTCTGTGGTCTCACCCAGGGTTTACCCACACCTGTTGCACGTCAGCTCCTTGCACGGACCCTAGGACTCCAGACAGCACGGCGGATCACCTGCCCGACCCCCTGTCCAGAAGACCAGGGGGCTGCAAACAGAATTCCTCAAGCCATCCCAGGAGGCCCCCGTGGGTCCCTGGCGGAGCCCTCACTCACAGCGTACAGTGTGGAAGGCGTAGCGCGGCTGCTTCTCGAAACTCTCGCCTAACTTGAGAACTCGCTCGCGACGGCCCAAGTGCGCAAGTCTCGCTGGTCCATTCATCACTCTCCTCTCCCTCCGACTTTCGCTACCATCTACCACCTCAGCCCCAGGCAGCTGTGTCTGTGGCCCGCCGCCAGCGCAGCCACCATAGAACCGGCCCCGCTCCCGACGCGCGCCGCTCCTCGAGGCGCGCCTCGCGCCCTATTGGCTGTCTGTTGAAAGGTGCTCCGCCCCTTGGCCCGGAGGCTGCCGGTCCCGCCCCTCGGCCCAGTCCCGAGATGTGACGCACGCTGCCTCCCTAAAGCCTGCTCTCTCTAGTTCTTGGTGGGAGAAGGGTCCTGTGGGGGGAGGAACGTGAATTCAGGATTAGGTAACTGACTTGAGGTGGCGGATGGGGATTGAGAGGGCGGTAGAGTTCTGGGGGGTCCGCTGCTGGACCAAGTGAACCACCTCTGTGACCTCTTAACGGGAGAATTAGCAGCTCCATTCTGTTTCTGTGGAGATCTGGGGTAGAAACCGAGGCCCGAAGATGGGCAGTGTTTATGGGCACAAGGCCTGGTGATTTGCACGAGGCCTTGTAGAGCCAAAGCCGGGTCTGAAATCCAGAGTAAAGGAGCCCGCGGCCCCGGAGCCTCGGCGCTCGGACCTGACTGGAAGTGACGCCATTACCCTGGCAGTCGTTTTCTGACCCTAAAGTACCGGAGGAAGTTCTCAGTGCTGTTAGGACTGGAGGAGGGGAAAAGGAGGATTTGAAGTTAAGAACTGCAGACAGTCAGGATCAACTGTAACTGGGTAGTATTCAGTTTCTTTATTTTCATCAGAGTGATTCGTGGAAGCAGTGAAAGCAGTGAAGAACCCGGCCAGGGAAAGGTGATTTATAAAGGATCGAGGCTGAGGCTGGAACTGGTGTTCTGGCAACAGGGTAATACCATTGATAACTGATCAGTAATCGTCTTTTATTGTCAGTGTTCATGAATTTATTGTGAAGATGGGAGAAGCATTGTATTAGAGGAGAAACACTAAAGAAAAGTTTACAAATGGTTATAATGTTATATGGTTATTTGGGGGTAATTATGTAATCAAATTATACACCCTTACTGTCTTCTATGTTAGGTAACTGCCACTCTTTTAAGGTATACTGTTTCATAGAGAAAGTAAGCGTTCAGCTTCTGGAGCCTAAAACTCATTTGTGGCTACTTTTTCTTGTAGGAGGTGTTACAGATAAGAAAACTGATTCAGAGAACTGGAGTCCTTTAATTTTATGGTCTAAATTCTTGCCTATGTCATCTGTGGAGCACTTAATATGCATTTTATATACTTAAGAATTTTATGCATATTTATTTATGTGTATCTGTACTCAAAACATACTGCTTTTTCCCAACCAAAACATTAGCAGGGAATATGTACTGTATAATATCTTCGTGACATTTGCATCTATCATACAGATATTTGGTAGTGACAATGTTTTATTGTAACCAGGAGGACAAGAAGAGTGTCTTAATCCTGTTTTACTTCAGAAAGGCTTCCAACCAGAAATACGAGCTATCCATATTGTATTAGGGAGAAAAAGCACAAAGTCAAGAAACAGTTTCAGATTGCCCAATTGCATATTTATTTCTTCTTTCAACAAGTATTTATTAAACACCTATTGCATGCCAGACACTTCTCTAGCCACTGGAGATAGAGTAGTAAACCAGAGAAAGAAGGCAGTCACCAAAGATGGTATGCGTTTTTCCTCATGAAATTTATGTTCTGGTGTGAATTTTCTCCAAACATTAAAATGAACTGTGTTATACTGACTCAGGAATAAACAATAGATTAATGATATTAAGTAGAGTCCAAAAATATACCCTGTGTGTATGTTTGTAAGTTATCTACACTAACTTATTAACACTATATTACCATATCCACATTTCAGATTGTTTTATTATGTTCTAATTAGGACCAGTTACCTCAACAATTTATGACTGCTATGGGTATTTGTTCTTTTATTCCCAGTTTATAACCTCATCTAATTTAAAATATTTGGCTAGATTCCTATCTCATCGTTCATAAAAAATACTTTGCTGTTGAAGATACAAGTAAAAAAAAAATGCATAGAAATACTAAAAAGTTTAAGAGCATTTTTTAGCTCTTAATTAAGGTAAACAGAATTTTTCTAAGCATGACATAAGGCAGAAGTCATAGAGGAAAACAATTTTTATGTATGATTACATAAAAATTACAAGACTATGGAAAAAATAATACCATAATCAAACTTTAAAAATAAGTGGCAGTGAAGGTGAAAATTTTACAGCCAATATAAAAGACAAAAGGTTCATATCCATATATGAAAAACTTCTGTAAAAGAATAAAACAAACTAATTAAAAAATAGTCAAAACATAGGAACAGAAAGTACATAAAAGAAAAAATGGCCAGTGAACATAAAATGTGGCTCACCTCCTTAATACTCAAAGAAGCAAAACAATGGTATATTTTACATTTAACATTGGCAATAATAAAAGATTGTGTTGTGTGTGGCTGAGGCATGAGGATCCCAACTTCAAGCCAAGCCCGAGAAACTTAGCAACTTAGTGAGATCTAGTCTCAAAAAATAAAAAGGGCTGGAAATGTACCTCAGTGTGAAAGCCCTGGGTTCAATCCCCAGTACCAGGCAAAAAAAAAAAAAAGAAAAGAAAAAGATAACGTGTGTAAGTGAAGTTATAGAAGTATAAATCAGAATATTTTCTTTGGCAAAAAGTTGATAGAATCATATCAAAATTTGAAAATTGTGTATACTCTATGTCTCAGCCATCCAACATCAAGGAAAATTCATCCTACAGAAATAATAACATGAGTACGTAAAGACAGTGATACTCATTGAAGCATCGGTTATAATAACAACCTGAATTATCTCCAGTAAAAGGGATGTTTATATATAATATATATAATATATAATATATACATTGGGGGGGGGGGTACTAGGGCTTGAACTGGTCCTTGTGCTTGCACAGCAGGTGGCGAAACCACTGAGCTAAATCCCCGGCCCTAAATATATTTTGATATGCTCTTTCAAAGGAAGTATAATATAACAGCCATTGAAAAGAAGGAGATAATTACACGCACTGTCTTGGAAAGTTTTGTGGCTATTGTGTACTAGAGTTGTACTGGGTTTTGTTAAAATATTTTCAGTAAAGTTTTAATGAATTATATTTTACCTAATAAAAGATAATTTTTAGATTTTTGTATTATGCCTAATTCTTCAATATAAAGAATGGACCATGATGCCAGATATAAAGAATAGATAGCTAAAAAAGTGAATTATTCTAGAATTGTGCAGATTAGAGAGGGTAAATGTGTAATTCCTAGCACAGTTCCTGATTCTTAGTACATAATCACCATACTCAACTATAACTGTTGCATGTAGCTAGAGTGACCTAGAATTCTTTTAGCGTTACACTTGGCTACAAAAAAGTTTCCCTATAAGGAAAACAAACAAACAAAATCTACCCTTCTTAAGGCAAAAAAAAGGTAAGTTTTCACTTATATTGATCTTGTATTTCAAAAGTTATTTAGGGAGGGAATATTTTAGGGCTTTTTCATCTTTATTTTCTGATTCTCTTAAAATATAGGTGATTAAGAAATGAAGCCAATAGGTACAGACTCAAGGATATTATCTGTAGCTGCTGAAGTTGCCAAAAGTCCTGAACAGAATGTGCCTATTATTTTGTTGAAGATAAATGGTAAAATAATTTTCTGATTAAGTAACACTTTAAATTAAAAACAGTTCTATCCTTGATAATCTTAACATTTGTTTCTGATTTGTTTAGAGAAATCTTAACAATGTGATATAGCAGTATTTTTTTCTTTTTAATATAGTTTTTCTTTTTTACTATTGTTCACATGTAAAAATCAAATAGCTCTTGGATGTATTAAGCAAAAATAAGTATGTCTTATTTTCTTTTGCTTTAGAAATAATAAACAACACACCATTAGGAAGCTCAGAGTTGAAGAAAATCAAACAAGATATATATTGTTACGACCTCATTCAGTATTGCCTCTTGGTCCTCGGGCAAGATTATTCTCGAATCCAGGGTGGTTGGACTACAATTTCTCAGCTTACACAGATAGTAAGGTAAAATGAAACAGTAAGTCAGGCTGTTCTTGAGGAATTTGTATTTGTTTTTATTTTCAACATTTGCTGCTTTTTTATTCATCTTCCTAACAATAATTTGAACCTCCTATGATAGGTTTTATTTGTACTTTTTTTTCATACTGCAGAGTCTGCCAAAAAATGTATACATACTACAGGAGAAGAAAAACTTGACTCATTTCTGTTTATTTTTGAACCAAGTGACTTTCATTTTCCTGAAGGACTGTTAGTTTTTAAAATATGTGTATCCTACACTTAGATACAAACAAGGTGCACACACCACAGTTTTCTTTTCTAGAAAGTTTTTAAGTTTGTTTTTTATTGGCTTAGCAACAGAAGATGGATGCTAAAGATTCTCATTGAGGTACTGTGTCTATTGAAATTTAATATTCAATTGAAATTTATGATTAACACAAACTTGTGCTCTTGTTTTAGCCACTGTTGTGTGGGCTTAGAGCCAGGAGAAGATGCAGAAGAATTTTACAAGGAATTACTTCCATTGGCTGCAGAAAATTTTCTAGTTTTGGGGAGACGATTGCAAGCATGTTTTGTCAATGCAACTAAGGTATGTGTTTATGTAGTGTTTTGTATTTTGTAGCCAGTCATTTAAATTCTTGAGAAGCTGTTCTTTGTTATTTTTCACATATACAATATTTGACTGAAAGTACAATTAGAGAAGTGAATTTACACATTTTTAAAATTACAACAAGAAAATCTTCTCTACATGTGAAAATTTTCAAATGCTAGCTGAAGCACTCTGTAACTTTCTGAAGAGTCTTCCTTACTAAACTTAGGGTATCACACATAGTTACTTATGTCCATAACATCTTCCTGACACATACTTTCCTTAAATTATATTGTCATTACCTTCTATACATGGAGGAAAATTTGTATTCTAACCCTAGAACATTTCTTAGTAGCTCCAATGGTGAAGAAGAATAAAGGTATTTTTTTAATTTGATTTTTCATATCTCTAATCAACATATTTCATTTTAAATATTGAACTCTTCAATAATTATTTCTTAAGTGGATTATGTAACATACTGTATATGCTCTTTTTATGATACATAAGTTTAGAAATACGTTGCTTAATTTTCAAATATTTGAAGATTTTCTAGGTACTTTATTGTTACTAAGTTCTGATTTAATTTTATTATGGTCAGATAACATCCTCTAAATCAATTAATCTTGTGGATGTTTTTTCCAGACTCATTTTATGGCCCTCCATGTTTCATCTTGGTTTATTTTTCCTTTCTGCACTTTAAAGATTTTGTTCTATTGCCTTCTTATATATATTGTTTCTGATGTAAATTCAGCCTTCATTCTTATTGTGAGCCTTCATTTTTGTTATCTATTTATGCAACTTTTTGTCTCTAGCTGCCTTTTAAGACATTTCTATTTTCTTTGGTTTTCAGCAATTTTTCTTTGATGAACTGTGGTGTGGATTTCTTTATACTTATTTTGCTTGGGGTTTTCTCAGCTTCTTTTATCTGAGTTAATGTATTCATTCACATTAAGAATATTTTCAGCCACTATTTCTTCAAATATTTTTTTCCTGCCCTATTCATTTTCCTTTCCATCCAGAACTTTAGGTTGTTGAGGCTCTATTCATCTTGTTTCTGTTTACTTCAGTTTGTATAATTGGTCTTTCTTCAAGGTACTAACCCTTTCTTGTGCAGTGTCTGTCTTCCCAAACCCCATCTAGTGAATTTTTTGTTACATGTATTTTATTGGTTCTATGATTTCTATTTACTTTTATTTTAGTGTTTTCATAATTCTGAAATTCTGTTTCTTTTTATTTTCTCAATTTTTTATAAGTATATTTTTGTAAAACAAAGTAAATACATTCATTGTTGGGGAATTGGTACATATATATATGGTATCCAGATCCTTTTTATTTTTCCTTACCGTCCTCTTCCTCCCATCTCCCCTTTTCTCAGATCCCCATCCCATCATTTCAAAGAATCAACTCTTTGATTCAGTGATCCTTTATATTCTTTTTTAAGTCTGAATTTCAGTTCTTTCCACTCTGATCTTTATAATTTCTTTCCTTCTGTAAGTTTCAAAATTGAATTGTTCTTGTCTTTCTAGGACCTTAGGATACATCATTAGGTTATTTGTTAAGGATTGCTCTGTTCTTTTAGTGTGTGCATTTGTAGCTATAAGCTTCCCTGGTAGAACTGATTTCGTTATGTCTTATTGGTTTGGGTATGTTGTGCTTTCATTATAATTTGATTCTGGGAATTTTTTTATTCCTTGATTTCTTCTGTGATCCATTGTATTACCTAATCTTCATGTATTTGCATAGTTTCTGTTGCTGTTGATTTCACTGTGATTTGATAGTATTTTAATTCTTTTGTATTTATTTGGAAATACATGTTTTGGAAAAAGTTCTCTGTGCTATTGAGATAAATATATGTTGTTATTTTTGGATGAAACACCGTTTAAGTCCATTTGTTCAATGGTAGTTTAACTGTCATATTTCTTGCTTGGTATTTTTTGTCTGGTTGACCTGTGTGGTTGTGAGAGTATAGTATTGAAGTCCCCTACCATGATTGTATTGGGTGTCTATATCTACTTTTCTTTCTTTTTTTTTTTTTTTGGTACCAGGGATAGAACTCAGGACCTTGCACTTGTGAGGCAGGCACCAGAACCACTGAGCTAAATGCCCGGCCCTATATTTACTTTTAAGTCCAGTAGATTTTGTTTCATGAAATTGGGTGTGCCAACATTTGATGCATAGATATTTACAGTTATGTCTTCCTGTTGAATTGTTCCCTTTACCAGCATGTATTGGCCATCTTTGTCTCTTTTGATCGGTTCCTCTCCAAATACCATCACATATAAATTTTGGGGGACACAAACAGTCCATTACAGTCACTATGTTATGTTAGGCTCCATTTTGTGAGCTTTGATAATATGAAGAATAGATACTGTCTTGGATTTAAGAAATTTCCAGGCTAATAAAGTTGGTAAGATCTTAGCTATTTCTTGTAGGACATTTAAGATAAGTGTACATTTAATTCAAAATATCACTAAGTAAAATAATTATAAGAGTAGAATTGAGTGAGCAACACAGCAGCATGGACAGCATGCTGGTTTGAGTATAAGAAATATTGTTAGGCCCAGGGATTTAGCTCAGTGATTCTGTCACCTGCTTTACAAGCGCAAGGTCCCAAATTCAATCCCAGGTACCAAAAAAAAAAAAAAAAAAAGAAATATTGTTAGCAGAGAATTTAACTCAGTGGTCACAGATTCTACTTTTGGCACCTCCACTGGCATTTGAGAGACACTAGCACTAAATAAATATTTATTTACATTTCATTAGATTTGATTTAATTGAGGTTCAGTTGAGCAACATAAACAATGAGAAATAGTACTGGACAGTCATTTCTTTTGAAAAATCATTTCTTTTTCTGGCTATGCTGTAAACTAACTTAAGTTCCTTTAGGCAAATCACTTTATTTCACTATACTTTATTTTTCTTATGATAGCTCATACTATTATATAAACTTTTCTTCCAAGCACTTTCACTTAATGTTCCCCCTTTAATGCTATTGATAATTATTTCTTTTCAAGCATATAGCATACATTAACATATATTATTAAATTACATATGAATGTGTGATCTAATTACTATATATCTTATTTGAAATACTTGGAACATCTACATTTACATGATTTTCAACCCTGGCTGCATATCCAAATCATACACCCAACTTTGTGAAAATACAGATGTTCATACTTCACCTTTGGAGATTCAGATTCAATATATTTGGACTAACACCTGTGCACAAGTGTATTTTAAAACTCCTTAGGTGATTCTTATGCTTGGCAAGTGGTAAGAAATCCTATTGTATAAACTGGTAGTGTATAAACTACTTATTTTATCTGAATAACAACCACGGATAAAAGGTAGAATAAGTATTAATTTACTGTAACTACAAGTTTTACAAGTGAAGAAACTCAAAACCACAAAATCTTGAACCTCATAAATAGCTGTTAGATACAGAAACTGGTTTCTTCTCTTCTGGCTCCCCAGAGAGAAGTCTTTTTTATTTAAAGCAAGTACATAAAAGTAAATTGGCTTTATATTTTTGTGTTAAGGGTGAAGAAAAAGATGAATTACTACACTTTTTCCAAATTGTGACTGCTTCTCTCTTATGGCTGTTGGGAGGCCATGTTCAACTCATACAGAATGGTAAGATAAAAGGTTTTAATGTAACATAATCATTATAAAGTCAAATGCTAACAGTTTGACCTTAAGATAACCGTAGTGGAATGAAAGCATGTTTAAATAACCCCACAATAAAAAAAAAGCCATTTGGATATCCCAAATTTAAATAATAAGCACTGACAATATGAATATTGTATTAAAGGAAATTTGCTAAGACATATCTTTCTTCTTAGCTGTTTCTATTTAGTAAATCTGCACTAAGGGTTAACTGAACAGTTTAGTCTAAGAAAAATTTAGGTTTCAAAGATTACAGTTAGATCTACTGTGAGAAATCCCTATGTACGCAGTAAGTACAATTTTACTCATAGCTTAGCTATAAGAGTAACTTTTATATAGTGCTTGCTGCAACAGTACACATACTAAAATTGGAGTCATACAGAGAAGATTAGCGTAGCCCTGTGTAAGAATGACACATAAATTCGTGGAGTGTTTCATATTTTTTATGAATAGTTGCAAAATAAATCTGAAAAACTCTAAAAATTGTGTTTATATAATAAATATTTTCCAAAGAGGAAAGCTATTGACTGAAGGAAAATGTGCTTTAAATATATTAAATAAGATGTTACAGAGAGAAGAGTACGTTTTATATAATGACATTTACATTGAGAAATATAAATGTGTTTTAGCTTTCTGTTGCTTTCTTAAGACAGATCTTTAATGATATTTATGGCACAATTCCTATTCTCTTTGAAAATTTTATCTAATATAAATATAAAACTGTAATAACTTTTTTAAAACAAGTGAGAGTTAAATTTTTGTTTTTAATTCCATTTTTTTACTTCAGAATCATGCATGCACACAGAGTCAAATATTTTTATAAGTATTGTTAAGAAAAATATAATCCTTGACTCTCAGGCCCATTTCATTTCCCAAGGGAAACTACTTTTAATTAGTATAACCAATACTCTGAATAGTTAGATCTATATAGCTAAGTAATAATCCTAAATACTTTCTAAAAGCATTTTCTATTAGTTTCTCATTGTGGAACAAATATTATTATTATAAGTTCCCCAGTAATAAAGTACAGTGGTACCTCTGTTCATGAACTTAATTAGTTCCATGATTCTGGGAAAGATGGTTGTGTTTGTGTTCAAGGTAGGGAAGATGGCCTCATTCATCACCCAATATGGAGTTGGGGAACAGATGCAAAAATTTGCCTAATGCTTCTGTTCGCCAACTGAATTGTTCACAAACAGAAGCATTCATGAACTGAGGTACAGTATTAATATACTGTACTTAGGACTATGGATATAAAGACCTAGTAAAAAGAGAAAATACTTGAATAATTTCAGAAATATACCATAATCCATTTTGAAAAGAATGATAGCAAAAGAGATACTGTTCCTGGAGTTAATCTATAGATGTAAAACATCCAAAAATTAGGTATTAAAACTATATTAAATGGTTGTAACATTTATACACAAAAAATAAATGGGTACATTGAAGTTGTGGTTTCCTACAACCTTTTCCCTATAAAAGAAAGGACTTCTTTGGAGAAATGCCAAACTGTTGGTGTGGAATACATAGTATATAAGGTGAGCCTGCAGTGTCTTAAATGTCCAGTGTAAAGGAAATACTCAGAATCTATTAGGGTTCTGTGAAAAGGACTTAGGAGCCAAAATAAGGATGATTCTATTAGACAAATAAAGGCAATTTGAATGGTAATTAAGATAATAACTATAGTGGATTAAAACACACCAAATACAGTGAGACTAAAAAAGAAATCATTGGAGTCAGCTAGGGAACTAATTCATTTCTTAAAACTGATAAGTGGAGAATCCAGCCATTTAACCTGCTTTTTCTTATACATAGATGAGGAAAAATTTCTCTATATAAAGTAATAAGTGAAAAATGTATGGTAGGATAGCACTCATTTTATAACCCTTCATGAATTACCAGATTTAAGAATTGATTCGCCATGGCTGTCAACATCTCAAAAAGAGATAACCAAACATTAAGTTCTTTCTGGTGGATTATCATAACAAATTGCAAGGGAAATAAAAAGGACAGAAGATTAATCTATAGATTAAAAGAAATTTTAAAGGTAGCCAATCACAAATGCATGGATCTTAAATGGAAAATTTATTTAAGTACAGGGAATATTTTTCCTACCAAAATAACAGAACTTAGAAAGCCATAAAAATATTTAATGATGCAATTTTTTCTGAGTTTTTAAAAAAATTGAAAAAAACATGTTGTATAGTGAAATACTGTCTACATGCATAGGAAGAACAGAAATTAGTATGGAAAAGAAATCAAATACTATGTTCCCTCGGGACATAAAAAAGGAAAAAGAATAAAATTGTTTTGTAAGCTAAGATCAGATCCACAGAGCCAGGTTGTCAATAAATGTGGTCTCACTTTAATCTCAATTGGTTGGTAGAGAGGAAATAAACACTGGCATTTATTGGGAATCTAGCCTGTTCTAGGGCATTATGCATTAAGCTAGCCATTTATTTCTAGTTTTACAGATAAAGAAATGGAGTTCTGAGAGGTTAAGCAAGTTGATTCAGCAGCCAATGACAAGTCTTCATGCTTGGCTGCTTAGAGAATACAAGTTATAAACCAATAAAATGAAATTTTTGTGTTTAATGTTTTCATTATTATTATACACTGAAATTCATTGCTAGATAAATTTAGGGATAGGATGGATATTTTATTTTTAATTTAAAGAGAGATAATAAGTTATTTCCTTAGTACTTTATAGATGCTTTCTTGACTATATTCATAAAAGTGGAATAACTATTATTTATAGTTATTTAAAACTGCCTGCATCTTAAAAATCTTTAATTGTATGGCATACAAAGCCAGGAAGTCTAGCAGAAATGGTTATGTTTTGATTTCGTTTCAAAAGGATAAAATCCCATTTGTGTTAATATAGATGATTTATTTTAATCTTTTTTATCTCCTCTTTTAGTACTACAAAGTGATCATTTCTTACACTTACTGCAATCTGATAATGTTCAAATAGGATCTACAGTCATGATGCTGCTACAGAATATATTACAGATGAACAGGTGACTTGGTTATTAACCAATTTTTGTTTGGTATCTTATCTCACAGCTGTAAGAATTCCCCAAGATGAATGTAATTGTTATGTATAATGAACATATACTAGTAAAATTTACAAGATCTTAGGCTAAATCTCAGACTTTGAGCATTAGTGTGATATCTGAAGAAAAATACTGGGATCACAATAAAAAATGCTTACATATTTCATTTAACAGACAACAAGCTCAACATTATAAGCACTAAAGAAGAATATAGTTCCTCAAATTAAAGTAGAAAAGCAGAATGTAGACAGCTGAAATAATTTATTCTTTCACTTCAATTTGGATTTATTAAGAACTGCTATGTGCCAAGTACTGTGTTTGTCATTGCACTTACAAAGTTGATTGAGATGTAAAATTTGTCTTCAAAGATCTTACAACAGTGGAAGAGATAGACACATAAACATAATTATAGTATATTGCATTGCAGTGTTAAAGTTGTCCATGGATATTACAGGGGCTTCTAACCCAAAGTGAGAGGAGGTGCTGCCTGGAGAAGGTAACATCTGAGATGAAACTTTAATAAAGGAAGATAAATTGACCAGAGGGCATGAAAGGAAAGCAGTATTTCTAGGCAGAGTAGTAACATAAGGAAAAGCACAGAGATAAGAAACAGCAGGTGAAAGGCAGAGACAGTTCAATGTTGCTTGGGTGAAAAGTTCAGTGTTAGAAGTGGCTAGTGAGTTCTGCAGATACTTAAATCATGAAAAATTTATGTGCATGTTAAGAAAACTAAGTCTTAACACTGTAGCCACTGGATATTTTTTAAGTATTTAAAAACAGATTACATTTGGTTTTGTTACTCTGGTGACTAGAGAAAAGGTAAGGGGAACAGAACTCTAGACAAAAGTGGCAGTTGGAGGAAGCAACCATAGCAATGCAAATGAGGTAACGAAATCTGGGCCCTGGTACCTGGGGAATAGATTTTTAAAAATAATGAGTTAAAATTATGACTTCCACTTTTTTTTTTTGGTACCGGGGATCGAACTTGGGACTTTGCGCTTGCGAGGCAAGCAGCAGAACCACTGAGCTAAATCCCTGGCCCCATCCACTTTTGATTTAAGATGTAATAATAGGAGTGGATTTACCCTCTCACCCACAATTGTTTTCAAGAACATGCCCTCAAAGATTTGAGACCCTCTCAGTAGGTTTGACCTCTCACAAGTTCCCACACCTCCCAACAGCACTATCTTGGGAACCAAGCCTTTAACACATGGACCTCCAGGTAACAGTCAAAAGTGCAGCCCACAATTGACCTGACATGGTATTGAGACCTTTTCCAGGCTGTGTTGTAGGGAGGAATATCCCAGCTTGAGTTGAAGAGAGACAGCTGAGTCCAGGGAGAATAAGATTATTAGAGTTCATAAGACAGAATACTAAAGAAGAGAGAGAACTATACCAGAGTTCTTCAGAAAGATCCCTTGAAATATGCAATAGAGTACTGATAAGCACAGATGTGAGAAAAAACTATTTAAGGAGTAATCAAAAAAGATGAAAATAACAGTGTCAGCAGCTCACACAAGACTGGGACTAGTGCCTGTTTCCAACAGCCAAACTAGAAAACCTCATACATAATGGGCCATTGGGTAGAATATTCGGGAAGTTTTCGCCTTGGTATTGTGGAATAATTAGCATTAAACTGCACCCTCTTCCAGACCATCCAAACCAATTCTAAAAGTAAGGCCTGAAAGGACAAAACTGTTTCAGAGTATCTTAACTGAACATGGTTATTGAAACTTCCTACATTTTAGTCGTTGTATTATAGGACATCAAAGGCAAGAAGTTCAGCAGAAATGGTCATGCTTTAATTTGTCTTTAAAAGGATGAAAAAAGTTGGGCATGGTGGCTCATGCCTGTAATCTCAGCACTCAGGAGGCTGAGGCAGGAATATCACCATGAGTTCAAGGCCAGTTTGGGCTATATAGTAAGTTCAAGGCCAGCCTGAGCTATATAGCAAAAGTAATCACTTCTCGGCCTTTTGGCTAAGATCAAGTGTAGTACAGCAAAACTCTGTCTCAAAAACCAAAACAAGGAAAAAAAAAAAAAAGAAAACCATCCCACTGGTGTTGTCATAGAATATTAGCTTTGATCACTTTTTCTCTTCCTTTAGTACTACAAACTAATCATTTTTTGTATTACTGCAAACTGATGATATTCAGAATCTGCAATCATGACTATGTTACAGAACATACTACAGCTCAGCAGGTAACTGGGTTTTACAAAATATTACGATTTTTTTATTCGAATCAACCTCAACAAGGCAAAATTCACATTGTCTTGCATACAGAGAAGGACCAGGCAGGCAAAGAAGCAGAAAAATACTACTCATGATGAGAAGAATCAGTTGATCAAGACTGATACTATATTAGACAAGGACATTATGAGAGTTATCATAACTATTTTCCATATACAGTTATTTAAAAAATTGAATAGAGATCTGTATGACATAAGATCCAAACTGAACTTCTAGAGATGAAAACTACAGTGTCTGAGATGAGAAGTACATTAGATGAGGTTAATAGCAGATTAACAGTGTAGAAGACTAGTGAACTCTTAAGACATATCAATAAAAATGATCCAAAATGAAAGAGAAAAAAATTTTCAAAAAGGAAAGAAAAGAGGGCCGGGGATTTAGCTCAGTGGGTCCGTCGCCTGCCTTGCAAGCGCAAGGTCCTCAGTTCGATCCCCGGTACAAAAAAAAAAGGAAAGAAAAGCCTATCAATGATCTGTAGAACAAATTCAAGCAGGATTATTTGGGTGTAATCAGAATACCTAAAGGAAGTAGTAGGGTCAGGAAAAAAATTAAAGAAATAATGGCTAAAATTTTTCCAAATTTGATGAAAGCTATATACTTGTGAGATTCAAAAACTCATCAAACCTCAAGAAAAATAAATATAAACACAATTTCACATCAAAGTATATTATAATTAAATTGCTTAAACTAGAAGAAGGGAGAAAATTTTAAAGGCAACCGGAGTGAAAAAAATACTTTACATAGAAGAATGAAAATAAAGATGACAGCAGTGTTCTTACCAGAAACAATACAAGCTAAAAGACTGTTGAACAACATCTTTTAAAGTATAGAAGTCACAGTTCAGAGTTCAGAGTTCATGGTCTTAGTTGTTTGCAGATTTTTCCTTAGAACCTAACTAATAATTGTTCTCTGCAACCCCTGCAATTTTGCTGAAACAGAAAATATTCTCCACAAATGTTTTTTTGGTGGGAGATTTGCAAGTAGCCAATCTGAGAGTGTTATTCAGTTCTCCTTGCTACTGATTGGCTGCTGCCCTGTAACCCCTCTGACAGATGCATCAGCATTCCTGTATCATAACAGGTTGCTGTACATGTAGCTATCTCAGCTGTTCTCAGTTTTGTTCTTAAAACCTTAAAATCCCCAAGATGCCACCAAATGCCCTGCAGTCTTTTAAGGCTTCTGGTAACGAACCTAAGCCCCAGAAGAAGTTTAAGACACTCCAGGAGAAAGCTTAACTATGGGATTTGCTCTGGGAACTAAAAAGATATGCTGCAATAGCATAATAGGTATTTTTCTGACCATATCTGAAATTCACGGTTTTTGCACTAGGAATGTAACCCCTGTGGATTTCAAGTGTCCACTGTATTGAAAGAAAAATATCTGTCAAGCTAGAACTTTATGCACCACAGAAAGACATCAAAAACAAAATACTTTTTCAGAAATCACCACAAGACCCATACTACAAGAAATACTTAACGAAGTCCTTCAGTCAAAAGGAAGATGGATCTACAGAAGGAAAAAGGAATAGTTTTAGAAATGGTGATTACATTGGTAAATATATAAAAATTTCTTATTACATTGTAATAAAATTATCCATAGGTTGGAGTATACAAAATAATGTATTTAGAGGTATATGACATATGTATTAGTAGAATGTATTACAATAGCATAAAAATGGGAAGTAAAAACATGGAAGTATATGTCATAAAGCTCTTGTACTACACATGAAATGATATAAATATCACTTGAAGGTAAACTGAGAAATTGAAATATATACTATTGAACCTTAAAGCAACCAATAAAATAACAAAGGATTATAGCTAATAAGCCAGTACAAACAGTAATGTCAAATCATTTTGAAATGAATAATCCAGAAGGCAATTTTAAAAAGGAGAAAGTGAATAAAAAGCAAACAAAAAAACAAGTAAAAATCAAGATTTAAACCTATCTCTATTAGATGTAAATTTTTTGAAAACTATAAATTAAAAGACAGAGATTGGATTTTTACCCAAGTTTTTTTTGTTTTTTGGGGGTTTTTTTGGTACCGGGGATTGAACTTGGGACCTTGTGTGCATGCAAGGCAGGTGGCAGAACCACTGAGCTAAATCCCCGGCCCAGAGATTAGATTTTTTCTTTTTTTGGGGTACCGGGGATCGAACTCAGGTCCTTGCGCTTGCGCAGCAGGCGGCAAAACCACTGAGCTAAATCCCCAGCCCGAGATTAGATTTTTAAAAGGAGGAACTAACTATATGCCTCCTTACTAGAAATGCTTTTAAATAGAGACACCAATAGTGATAAAATAAAAAAATGAAAAAAAGATACGCCATGCTAATACTAATCAAAAGAAAGCTGGAGTACCTGTGTAATTATAAGGAAATCAGTTTATCAAGAGAACATGTTTATTGACCTGATAGTAGTTTCAGAATACTTAAAAATAGGCGTGATGGTACACTCCTGTAATCCTAGCACTCATCAGAATACTTAAAAAATTGACAAAACTGCAAGCAGATAAACTAAAAAATGTTGCCCCTCTCAATAATTAATAGAATAAATGGCCAAAAAATTAGTAAGACCAGAGATTTGAATAGCAACCAACTTGACCTAATTGACATTTTTAGAACATCCTACAAAACAACAGAAGAATAAGCTTTCCTTTCAAATGCATATAGAACATTTACCAAAGAGGCCACATTCTGGGACAAAAAAGAATTTAAGTAATGCAGAGTATGCTCTCTGGCCTTTATGGAATTAAGTTGGAAATTAACTCAAAAAGATCTCTGAAGAGTACCCAGATATATAGAAAATAGTAACTCTCATCTAAATAACCCACGAGACAAAGAAGAAATCAAAAGTGAAAGTAGACACTGTTGAAATGAATGGAAATTAAAACAACAGGAGAATTTCTGGGATGCATCTTAATTAAGACAAAGGGAAATTCTTTTTTTAAATCAGTAAACCTATTTTAGTAAAGAAAAATCCCAAATAATTGACCTTAGCTTCTACTTTAAGAAACTAGAAAAAGAGAAAATTAAACCTTAAATCATAGAAAGAAAATTGTAAAGATCAAAGCAGAAGCCAGCTATTGTTATGCACTGTAATCCCAACAGTTTGAAAGACTGATACAAGAGGATTATAAATTGGAATCTCACCTAGGCAATTTATTAAGACCCTGTCTCAAAGTAAAGAATTTTTAAAAGGGCTGGGGATGTAGCTCAGTGGTATAGCACCCCTAGGTTTGATCCCAAGGACCACACACATACATACACACACACACACACACACACACACAAAACAAAAATCAGTAATATATAAAATAACATGAAAACAATACAGAAAATAAACGAAACCATAAACTGGTACTTTGA